TCAAGTACATCAGTAGACCTATATCTTTGTATTCTGTAAACATATGATGATATGACCGACTCTACCGACGGTCAACTTATTTTTACCAGTTCCATTTAAACCCAAATATAGTTCAACACAGACTCTTGATATTTACGGATCGTATATACCTAGCAAGGTAGGGAGGTCAATTTTGCGAGAGTATACGCATTTATGCTGATAAAGACATTGAAGAAGTTTGGCATTTCTAACTTATATCAGGAGAAAGTTAAACTTATCAATATATCAGGAGAAAGTTAAACTTATCAATATATCAGGAGAAAGTTAAACTTATCAATATATCAGGAGAAACTAAACATTATTGAAACTAAACATTATTGAAACTAAACAATATTTTATATACATGTTGAAGACATTTTAACTTAATTTTTCTTTATCTTTTAAATAATGTATTTTTTGCAATGTTGATTAGTTAAATAAATTGTTTAGCTTTTAAATGTTTTTCTAAAAATATACTTTTACAATATTTAAAATCAGCTTGTCCGTTTTCTTTGATATTTGAATAAAGGAAGCATCTGGATCATTTCTTTCGAAATTCATTCATGTTTTTAAAAAAGAAAATGTTGGAATAATAAAATGAAAGTAGAATTTTATATCTCTGGGTTTTATAACAATTTTATGTATGTCATACCATTTTGGTAATAAATGATAATAACGTTAATCGAAATATTTTTTCTATGTTTGGTTGGGATTACATAAATATTTTTCAGCTTTTTATTTTGATTTGATTAAAACTGTAAAATCCTTTTAAAGATAAAGATTAAAATTATTTATTTTTCAACTAACATGATGCACTGCAAACTAACCAGGAGGATAAGGTCAAACTCTGATTTTCTAATCTCTATATCTTTGTAACCCAATGTCGTAAACCTTTGCTATTTCAATCTATTAATACTTATAGATAAAATAATCTAAGTTTGAAATATCAAAGGTTTGCATAGATATTGGGATCAAAAGATTTGAGTTTGTGGCAAAAACTCAACTCCTTTATTTGATTACATATTATGAATTCAAAACATTTTATTCTTTTCAAAAGCTCTTTAATAAGAGGAGTTATAATAAAAATATATAAGATATCAATCTTATGTTAATTTTTATTTAGTTTGACGTGATGTCTGGATGCAAATAATAAAAATACTGATGCTACCTATCCAATTCTTTATCGATCTAGGAGACAGAAAGAGAGGGAGTTAAAGTGTAACTACAACCAAGTTTCGTTACTCAACCAAATCTTAGTTAAAGGGGAAATAGACCATAAAGTACAACTACTAGGATTAGCTAAAACCTAAGNACAATGATATGATTGAATCTACATATTCTTGTTTGCTGAGACTAAGAACCTATGAAGGGGTGGATTTACTCTACAAGAGAAAAATCCTTACAAGGTTACAATATCATAGATAAAAAAATTAGAAGGAAATATCCGTATTAAAATTCCTAAGTGTTCCCTGTTGCTGATCCTGATTGACAGTTCTCCGACACCTGCTCTGTCATCTCTCACATCACTGACTTTCACAATCATCACTATGTGTCTATCTATATATGTTTCCATATTCTGTTCCTTCTCGGATATTTATCACTTCTCCTTATTTGATTCTCATATCTTGGTATCCTGGTTATTTTGCTAGAGTTGTTTGCACACAGGGTCTTCCTCCTACGTTATTCTGAAGAAAGAACTCTTCTCCTCCCATACGGTGAATAATAGACGAGGTTCGGGCTTGGTCTTTTAGCTGAAAACAGTTTTCAAAGATCTAAAAATATATAACATATATCTAATGTTTTCCCCTATTTCTTTCTAGATCTTACAATCCTTCTATGGTTCTAAACTAGCTAGAACATGCTGTGGTCCCACTGCATCAATACACAAACATCTTGTTATTCAGATTACCCTGATTTTGCAATTTTCCATTTTAAAGAGGTAAAAAAATTCTATTATTATTATTTGGTTAATTAATATTTTTTTGTCCTTTAGAGTAATTTAGGTATTCTTTTATTTGTATTTATATATTGATAATATATATCTATATATATACTTTGCTTGTCTGTCTGTTTGTTTGTTTACATCCAATAAAAGTCTAAACAGCTGAACCGATCGGGCCAAAATTTTGTGTAGGACCTCGCGTGGCCTAAGGGAAGGTTTATGGATGATCGAATTTTCAAAATTTGCTTCTAACGAAATTCGGTTTTTTGAAATTTTTGAAAATCCACAAAATTGTTTTTATAAAATCAGCAAAGATATATAAAGATTGTTTGTAAATATAATTTTTTAAATTCTAAAGGTAACACAATTTTTCCTCCCACCCCTCAGTCGTATTATAGAATAAATTATCCTCCTGCATATGTTATAAGTAAAATATGATATATTTATTATATATTATATGTATTATATAGATAGATATATAAAAGGAAACCAATGCATCATAATATCTATTAACTATAGAATACAGACTTGCTGCATCATAACTTACTTACCACAGATAAATACATAATAGATTTACAACGTTGAATATATATTGTATATAAATATATAATCTTTACATGGTAATGATACAAGGTTACATTTTAAAAGTGGTATGAACTCAAGACAATCTAAAGCCATAAAACTGATGTGAGTAAATCTACAGAGTAAAGGAAAAAATGTATTTACAAGTAAATTGAACAATAAAATGATATTAATGATCAATGGAAAGCTCTCTGCCTTTACTGTTCCGTCTCCAGGAGCTCTTCGTGCAAACTAACTATAGTTTCGGTTTAACTCCAATAAAATTCCCGGTTTTAACGGCAGCTTGCTTTTTAGGAATAGGACCATATTAACCTCTGTTAATGGCCCTATGGTGTACACTATTGTTAAAGCTTTCTAATTATTGCTCATTAGCAGGGGCGCACGAGGGCTTTTGTTTAAGGGAAGACAATTTGCGCGCGTAAGTTCTCAAAAAAAAAAATTTTGCCCCCCCCCCTCGGCAACATTGTGCCCCCCCTTAAAACCATTTTAAAAAAAATATTAATACCTTTTTTAAATTTTTTT